CTGGAGAGAAAACCTATTGATTTGAATTTAAAATGGAAATATGGAGCCACCTTAAGCATTGGCATCAGAAATTATCTCAGTGAAGTTTAACCCTCATGTCCAGGAAGAACTATGGTGCAGTGTCAGGCCTTGGAGTCAAGAAGATTTGACCTATTTAACCTCTCTAAGCTTCAGGGTCCTTGTATGCAAATGAGGGATGTTCCCTACTGCCATGAAAATGAAGCGAATTGATGCATGTCAAGTGCCAGCACAGCCTGCTACACAGTCGGAAGAGGTGGCCACCCCCTTGTCACTAACATGGACTCATTTCGTTTTAGCCTACTCACTGAGACAATTTACAGCTTTACAACTAACTGGGTGCAAGAGGTGAGAAGCTGAGTTCAAAGTCTCTGTGGCCCAATGTGACAATCGTCCTTCTACCAGACTTGCTTCAAAATTTCCTAAATAATGAGTTTTCTTCCTCTCTGCCTTTGCTCTGGCCTTTGCTTGCCCTCACCTTTACTGACTTCTCAAAAGCAGGTTACAGGCCTGCCTTTTGTTGGCACTGAAGACAGTTGTTGGCAATGCTTCTGTGGCTCTATCTGCTTTCTCTATGTATGTCAAAGATTAAATACACTTAAAAATATTTCCTGTGCTATTGGTGCTTTGCTTTTAGCATTCTGTACAATCTCTCAAATATCTACATAGGATTTTAGAGCCATAAGAATGTCAGAGACTGTTCTGAAGGTAAGGAAGCAGGTCTGGAGATGTCCCATGGCCTCTTCCCCACGTGATAGCCCCACCAAATAGCTCACCACCTCTTCAACCTGAGTAAGAGTGGCGAAGTCCCTCGCAATACGACTTTTCTTCTAAATTAATACAAAACAAAGCCCATAGATATGGCCTTCCTTATTTAAAATATATTTCAAACTTTTTTCTTTTTGTGCAAGAGAAATTTATTTAGGTGTGTGCTATTGTTTAAAAAATAACCCAAGACAAGTTATGCTGACCCGGAGAGCTGCTTCCTGTCCGATTCATTGTGGGTTATTAAGTGATTGTCCTTGAGGGTATTGCAAACATGGGCTTTTAGTCCTGCCAGTGGGTTGCATCTTCCCTCCAGAGAGTCATACTTCTAATCTGCGAATGGCATTACGTGTGTTTTTTTTCCCTGAGAACTGAGATAACAAAAAGCATCTTTAATTATTAAAATCTTATCATTCATCAGCTTGCTGTTTTCAATAAAGGCTGGAATTACCAAGTGGCATTTTTGTTTGTTTTCACACAGTCAGCAGTGCATCTCTTTTTGAGCTTCTTAAGTTTTTCATGGGTTCTGTTTTGTTTTTTTTTTAAATGGCTTTTCCAAGTTTGAGATGAACCCGAGCAAGAGTGAGATCCTGTCTCTAAAAACTATCTGGGCGTTGTGGCAGGGCCTGTAGTCCCAGCTACTTAGGAGGCTGAGGCAGGAGGATCACTTGAGCGCAAGAGTTTGAGGTTGCTGTGAGCT